GCGCGCGCGCGACTCTGTAATGTATTGTATATCGGAGCGATCGGCGGTACTAATTGGCGGCGGCTGGTTCGTTAATCGCCGGAATAATGTAGAGTAGGTTAATCATTTACGAGCACACACACACACACACTTAGCCTACCGTCGGCTAAGAACTGATTTCGGCTTCTAGATATAGAAACACAACAGTGAACAATGCAAGGAATAGTGGAGTAACGTGGTTTAACGTCTCAATTAAATCGGCGACGATAATTCGATTTGTTTGACTTCGAAACTACTTTCCACTAAGTATCAGAAAAGTTATAATATTTTTTTAAATACATTTTACATATTACTAGCACAACAGGCGCGCTCTACGCGAACGCTATTATTATTTTTATTTTAACATGTTGTGTCAGTAAACACAACCTGTCATCGCGATAAAATATGATGGCAGCTAATATATACGTCTTACAAACCATATAATACACATGAAGTACAAATGAGAGATATCAGAAATAATACATGAAAATCAAACTCAAAAACTAAAAATAGGGAAGAGTGGAAAAACAACACGTAACAAGGAGAAGTAGAGAAACACCATATGACTAAAGTCACGTGACAAGGAAAAGAGTAAAACCGAGAATATTATATATATCATATATAATATTCTATATCTATATATAATGCACACACACACACACACACACATATATATATATATACCGTAATCACATGACCAAAGTCAGTGACCCCGCCAAAGTCGCGCGACCGAGGTCAGTAACCCCGCCAAGGTCGCGCGGCCGAGGTCAGTGACCTCCCCCGCCAAGGCCGCGCGGCCGAGGTCAGTGACCCCGTCGCGGTCACGTGACCAAGATCAGTGACCTTACTGTAGTATGTAATACTGTAGTATGTAATACTGTAGTATATAATACACATATAATATAATATAATAATATGTATAATATTATAAATATATAATAAATTATATAATATATATTATATACGGAATATATATTATTTAATGGTATATATACTATAAATTACAGTCACGTTACTTTACTCACGTGTTGTTTTTCTACTCTTTTCTGTCACGCGACTTTACTTTAGTCACGTTTTTAGTTTTCTCCACGTATACGACGAACTGTCAAAATCGCTTTTCTGTCATTATTTACTCTCTCGATCTTACCGATTCGATTTGACTCGACTCGACTCGATCAACCATCCAATCGGCAACGCGGAAAGGAGGCAACAATAGATGCGATACATTCGACTCAAAAACGCGCACTTTGCGGTGCACATGGATTTTTTAATGAGAGACTCCTTGCAACAAATTGCTATGTTTGTTTGTTTTAAATATAAATATATTTAACATTTGCTCTCGCGTTCGTTCTTGTATTTGTATGTCAAGAAGATTCTTTTTACAATATTATTATTTTTTGGAATATTATTTTTTAATATTGTTTGTCCCGCGGTTGTGAAAATGAATGAGAAACGGATATTTCGATTAAAAGGAAAGAAAATTCGAGAACCGAGAGAGCATTCGTTTCGAAAAGGAGAGGGAGATGTGTGTAAATCTGATGAAAATAGGTTGGCTTTAATTTGGCGGATTTATCGCTGCCGATTGGGATCGGTATCGGGAAAACAATGACGATGTATTTCCGCGGAAAGGGAAATGGCGCGTTCGCGTTCGTATGTCGATTTCGGCAATTACGGCGCGCGACATATCGCGTGATATGAGCGATTTTTTCGAACAACGCGCGCGTTATTCTGTCCATCGTCGATAATCGTGCCATTCCGCTCGCTGTTGGCGCAGCAATGTTGAAATAGATTTGCTGATGCGAAACCGACCGAGAGACACTGTATAGATTACATGATTGTAACACTCGCGAATTTCTGATTGCATTAATTATGAACTGCTCTCTTGCCCGCGCGCGCGCGCTCTCAGCCAGTTAGTTAATCGATCGATTAGTATCAATAACAATATCGCTGTTTCGCAAATTTCCGCTCACCCACTTGTACAGCGTTCGATTCAATTCCGCGCGAGATGATATCCTCTCTCTGTGTCCCTCTTAATTAATAAATAAAACTATCCCCGCGCTAATTTCACACATACGTACTTTATCGCGCGCGATAACCGAAACGTCATTGGGAGAATGACAAAAGAATCATCGAACGAAAATCGCAAATCACACGCGCAAGCATTCTCTCGTACGTGGAAATTGTTCAGGCACGTTGTAAAACAAAGCGCGACGAAAAAGAGAACAGAGGCTTCCATTATTACTACGCAGCAATTTAATAAAAAAAATAATGCAGAGTAAATAAATTTACATTTCGAGCAGTTTTGTGCCAATTTCAGGCACGGCCGTTAAAAAAATTTCAGTGACTTTTTGCAGCTCGCGGACTCAATTATGAATTTTAGTCTCTCGAAAAGAGAGACAAAAGAATATTGCGTTCCTCTTGATTTACTGCGACAAGTTTATTTGGATATCGTCTCTTTTGAATAAAATACTCTCTCCATCTTGAGACGTCGGCTTGAAGCTTCGGAAAGAGGAAATTTTTTTTTTCTTACGCAGTACGCGCAACTCACTGCTTTTCCATTTTTGTCCTTCATTTGTCCTATCTTTCCTTTTTCTCTTTCTCTTTCTTTCTCTCTTTCTCTCGTTCTCTCTTTCTTTCTTTTACCGAGAGCAACTTTGGTGATAACTGTCACCCCGAGACCTCTCCTCGCTTTTGTCGCATCGAGTCACTCATATTCCAAGAAAAAGATAGAAGAAAATTCGGGCACCGACAAAATTTCACGCCCAGGCGCCGACATTTTATTCCTTCTCCATTTTTTCCTTTATTTCCTCTCTCCTTCTCTTTTTCTTTCTCTTTGGCATCGAAGTTTCGTACATCTTCCGCGAAGGTATCTCATAGAAAATTCATAGTTCGCCGAGTTATAATAATACCGTCCGGCGATACCGAACGACGTTATGGTGAAAAGTTTCGTAACGGTTGAGATGTGAAAAAAAGAGATTCGAGTAACCGCGACGTTATTAAAAGAAAGAAAGACAGAGGAAGAGAGAGTGAGAGAGAACGGGCACGAAATTTATTCTTCTTTTGAGAATAAGATGGGACGGTGTGGAGAGAGAGAAGATGGAGACGGTACCTCTGAACTGGGTTCGCGTTTTTCTTTTGCCCTTGTCCGCTTTCATTTTTCCGCGACACTCGCGAGCGTCACGCTTGGTCTGACAAATTGGCCTTTTGAAATAAATTCACAGCGCTTTGACTTATAATAATTTTGCATTGCCGTCGTGGCTGAGCAATTTGTTCCATGCGGCCGGAAACTGTTCTTGATGAAACGAGAATGATTTATAATCGCGTACACCGCGAGCGATCGAAGCATAATTCGAGGTTAATAAAAAAAGAGGATTAAAGAGATTAAGTCGCGACGACTCGTAACACAGTTCTTCGAATTTTCAGCAAGTTTCACATTCGGATTTCATAGAAACGCGGCGGCGACGACGGTTAATTTGAAACTCAAAGGACTATCCGAGCGCGCGCGCGCAAATCGTTTTGATGCAGTTACTACAGTCGTTGCGCGTTTTCACACAATGCAGAACAATTTTCCGGAGGGGTGAACGTTACCAACCTCACTCCTATGTCAATGGCAAAACCCGTCCGAGGCACGCGAATCGCGCGTGGATATAACCGGCGCGTCGGAGTTCGCTAAATCGAAATTCCATTCTCCCATGGGTCCCACTTTGGATCCTGGAAGCGGAAGTGTCCACACCGCATGTTCCGCGCTTGCGACTTCATCGATAAATAAAAAATTGAATGTACCCGGGGATCATTTTCTCGACTCGCGTTCCTGTAACTCGCAATCATACCGTTCAAAATCCAAACTGAAAAAAAGTTCCATTTTTCCTCACACACACACGGCTGCACTTTTGTGAGAATGACGTTTTTTTTCGTTGAATTTATTATTAAATAATCAAAGAAATCTATTTTGTTATCTGTTTCCGAACTATTTTATTTGTTTTTACAAATAAAAAAATATCTGATTTAACATTTAGATTAAATAAAGTTTCGTGCACACATTCGTAAATGGGAGTGAAATTCTATGGAAAAAAAATTTGTGTGATATGAAAAATTATTCTACCAATTTAATGCGCTTTGTACAGCTTTTTCATCCAATTTCTATGCCATTGTTAATAACGACATTTTTATTTTACATATTAAATTTTCCGTGTACGATTACTCGTTGCGTGTTGCAAACCCCCGAACTGGCTCCAAACAAAAAAAAAAACAAAAAAACTGACGTGTTGAAGCGTTTTCTCGCGTGTGCGTGCGCGAATTTGACACGTAAGTCTGTTTATCTTTTCACGAAAATATCTGTCATCCAAACTCCGTTCGATCTCGACCCCGAGAATACGAGATCGAGCGAGAAAACGAGGCGAAACGAATTTCGGACGGAGCTGAACCCTGCGAGACACGGAGAGAGAGAGAGAAAATGAAAGAGAGAGAGAGAGAGAAAGAGAGAGAGTGAGTGAGTGAGTGGTCGGAGTTTTGTTCTGAGATTATCGAGAAAACATCCGCGCCGATAAAACGGCAAGGAGAATTTTAAGGTACCGTTCCCGCGAGATTTCCGTCGACAATTCCGCCGAGTTGCGCGGGAAGAGGAAGGCCCGGCTTTTACACACAACCGAGTGCCACACACTAGTCGAAAACCTATCCTCTTCTTTTTTTTTTTCCCCACCTCTCTTCGGGATCGGAGATTTTTCGCGCTCAAGTCGCGCGCGATGTAGGAAATAAATCCTCGTCCTCCGTTCGGCGAAACGTTCGTGTTGACTCCGACGCGGTTCAGCTCCGGTCGATTTCTCTTTGTCGACGATCGACAAGGAAGAACGAACGAGCGCCCGGCGTCGATCGCGTCCTCCTCGAGGAGAACGCGACCCGTCGGCGCCGCTCGTCGTGAGCATGACGCGCGACGACGAGCGAGAAACGTATCATTGAGCACAGGTGGGCTACGACTGTTTCAGGAGTGACCATCTTGCTATCGCTGACGGTGTTCCTGAACCTCGTCGCCGAGACCCTGCCGCAGGTCTCCGACGCAATACCCCTGTTAGGTACAACACATGAGCTTTTACACAGAAAAAGAAGTTCGAACGTCGAAGTAAACCGATGCGCGTTATCGGTTCGCTGCGGCGACTATAAATTGATCGAATGAAAATCGGGAGAGCGTACACACGCTCTCTCTATCCGAAAAATCGTGAAGAGGTCTCTTCACGGCGAGATCCTTCGGGGGAAAGTCCCGTGTTTCCCGTTAATATTTAAGGAAGAGCCGGTTAGCTTTTCAGGTCTTTATAAATCTTCCATAAGGGTTTTCGCGAATTTAAAATTGAATCACAAGAATTTAAAATATAAGGACACGCTTCGGAAAGGTTCCTGTCCGACCTTTTTGAATTTTCAACGCAATTTTCTCTTCCACGTGAGAGGTTCGTGCGCGACGTATCCTTCGGATACATTTTGATTTTCCGTTATATTTACGTTTGTACAAGCGAAATATTAGAAGAGAGAAATATATATACGTGCGCGCGCGTATTTCCACAAAACGCGAGGGAGCACCAACTATATGGTGCTCTTCTTCGTTCGTTTCGCCGCAACTGTGTCTCATTACACCGACCGAAAACTCGCGTCTAACAGACATTTCTCGCATTTTATTTATAATATTATACACGAGAAGCACTTCCCCCGACGGGTCTCGCGGCGACGGCGAGCGAGAGAGAGGCGCGGACGCCCTGCAGCTGAAACGAATGCGCTCTTTTATGAAGAAGAGAATCGAGAATTGTGTGGAAATTCGAGAACCGGTGGAAGAGAAGACTTGTTGTGTTTTCGTTTGGTCGGTTTTTTTTTTTTTTTTTTTACCCGGATAAACTTCTCTTTTATCCGAGATACGCATCGGTAAACAAACTTAACGTTCGCTGAGCGATCGTGTGTGTTTCCTTTCGAATCGCGGACAGAGGGAGCGGAAATGCGACTTTCTCGAAAACTCCGGCGGTAGTTTTCGAGAAATTGGACCGCGCCGGATTCGTATCAGTTTCAGATGCAAAGCTTCGAAAATCGAGTTTCGCGTCGATAGACACGTAATCTCTCAAAGAATAATCGTTCGAAAACTCTCAGACACGATTTGCTGATATTTGCAAAGTTTCGCGGAGTTAAACGCGGTCTCTTTCTCTATTGTAATATTCAATGTCTCGCTTTCAACGGTCTAATTAAATGCGAGCGCCGACATTTTGCGGAAACTTACGCGCGACGCTGGTTTAAATTATAACTTTTTTAATAAAACAAGTTTTAAAAAAAATCTTTTTTCGCGATTATTAATTACCACAGATAAAAATTTCTCTCTCTCTTCTCTTTTTCTGTTAGCTTCTAAAATGTAATTGTTATTAAACAACCGTTTTTAATATTCAAGTTCCGTATCAACTGGAAACTTACTGACTGCGTCAAATCACAATCGAAGTTTATTGCGGCCATTACGAATTCTACAACTCTTTTCCCCGAGTCAAATAACAACTCAACGAGAAAATCCGGAAAAGCGGTGTACGTATATATATATATATATATACATATAGACAGGAAAATTTCAATCTACAAAGTTCGCGCAAGGCTATCTATTGGGAATCCGGCGGAAGACCCCCAAAACAGCAACGGAAAGGAAACTCGGAAAGTATACTAAGTACATTCGCAGTTGTTATTGCCAAAAAACGGAAGTCAGGATTCCGACGGGACGAGAAAGACGATAGAAATAAATTTGCTGCCTTCCTCTCGATGCGCCGAAATTCCCCCCGTGCTAACTTCCATCTAGGGTTTAATTGAGTAAGTTCGCAACGAGAGAGAAACACAAATTCCTCGGCCATACCTTTGCCAAACAGATCTGATTTTTTGTTCTCTCGTTACGTTCGATATCTTTATTTTGTATTTTCTCTTTTTCCTTTAAATGCAAAGCAGTTTTTTTTTTTTTTTTTTCCTATTAAGAAACGTGTCTCGCTCATTCCTTAATGAGTATATTTATTGCCGCGACTATTCTTCCCTTTGTTTTCTCTTGAACATTTCATAAGTAATTAGTGTGTTTCCAATTACTTAAGATGTAATTTCGAATAAACGCGACATTCGCATTTTTCGATATACGTACGATTTTCAAACTTCAAAAGTCCCGGAGCGGAGAATCTTGCGTTTTCGAGTCACGAAAAGCTCATTTAGACCAAGTATGTCATCGTCCTTCAAGAGTCCGAGAGTCGATCGCAGCTGTCGATTCTCCGCCGTCTTTCTTGTCTCCGCGAACGGGGTTCCGCGGTTCATTCTCTTTTTTCGGGCATTTGCGCGCGCCATCCATTTTACGGAGAGTGACGCCTCCCGACGGTTTTTATCGAGTCGCGATGATCAAAGTAAATTAAACGCGTCCGTCGCGTCTCTTTTTGCCATTACGTGCGTTCGCGTTGCGACTTTTATAATCTCGACGGCGCGGTGCGCTTCCGATAATAGACCAAAAAAAAAAACTGTCGAAAGAAGAATCGACACGGTTTCGACGCGGAACGAGCGAGAGAAAAATCCGTCACGTTTTTCGCGACTTGCAAAATTAATTACCAGCTAATCAAAGAGAGAAAGAGAGAGAGAGAGAGAAAAGACCCCGGCGGGGCTTTTACGGCGGTTTTTGGCAAGGAAGTAACGCGCGTTCCGAGGAAGGGGGAGGACAGTTTGTTGGGAAATTAATATCTGTCGGCCGTCAGGGGAAAAAACGACGCACGTTCGGACTGAGCGCGCCCATCGATTTCCGTGACGCGCTTTTGCATCCGCGTTGTCATGTCGAACTTGTCTCGTGGCAAGAAATCCGATGCCGCCCTCGTGTACGTAACACACGCGGGACAGAGTTATCCAAAACATCTTTTTGCAGCTCCCGTGCGTTTTACGCGATGTGTGTGAGTGTGTACGCTTTTACAATAACTAAGATATTTTCCAAAAGTTTTTCGTCGACCGAAAATTTGCGGTGATAAATTGTTCTTGTTTGTTTTCCGTAAGAAAAATGTCACTTGTTAATTAATTGATTTAACGAGACAAGCAGTGCTGATACTTCTTATTTTGAAATTATTTCAAATTAAAAATTATTTGATTATATTTGAATAAAAACGTGGCACGCACACACACACTGTGTAATTATATTTCAGTAAGAAAAATTAGTACAAAATCGATCGAGGAATCTCGAGTTTTCTTTGTAATTTTCAATCCTTTCGTTTCTTTGATAAGATCGCGCGCAATTTTCCGCGAGTGTATTTTCTCGATACTGATTATATGTGTATTTGTGAATTGCGACATTTTTTCGCGCGGGAATTTAAATATTTTCGCACGCACAAGGCGCGATCGAAGAGGACATTGGCTTTTGCCAATCGGAGAACCCGACGCGTTAACGCAAAGTTCTCTCACTCGCGCAAAGTGCTCGCTAATTAACAGTATTCGATGCGAAGCAAGTTCAAAACGGCGCGTTATCGTTTTGCCACGCGCACGGCCACTCAATTAACGTACTTATCTCGAGAACGTCATAAAGCGCCTTGTGATCAAACGCCGCCGGATCCATTCGCCTGGAATTCGGAAGGATCCTCGCTTCGCCGATGTGGGAAAATTAAATACAGGCAAAGTTCGAACGGAAATAAAAAAGAAAAAAACAATCGACTCAAACACACTTTTCTCTCTCTCTCTCTTCCTCTTGTTCTGTTTTGTGCGCCTTTGCGTATATTTCCTTACTTGTCGCGTTTATTTTCCGTCGCGTTTATTTCGCCGCTGCGATTCGTCATCGCGACACGACGTGCATATCGTTCGCGACGAAACACACGCGAATCGCAAACAGAGACGCGAAGATACTTATTTTTGCGGCAGACTAATATCGCGTTTTAGCGCGCGAGTTTCTACGCGAGAGAAACGGAAAAATATTGCGAAAAAATTTGTTATAATGACGACAATTTGTTTCACACGTGTGAAAATGCGTATCGATCCGGAAATTGCAAGAGATGCAGGCGGCGCGCACTGCTCCTTCGGTTAAGCGTTAAAGGGCATGAGAAAGTTTGCCCTTTTGCGTATTTAAACGCGCGCTTTGTGCCGACGCGAAAACGCGTCACGTTCTTTTCCTCAAAGAGGAAGGTAGCTGAAAAAAAAAAGAAAAAAAGAATTTTTTTCAGCATATGCCGCTACGTATGCGCTTCGCTTCTTTCTCACAGAGAGACAGAAAGAGAGAGAAAAAGAGAGAGAGAGAGAAGAGAGACTCATTCGTGTATTTCCTCATTTCTGCAACCACGCGTCGCGCTCTGACATAGCTCCCGCGCTTGCTCGTTTTGCTGTGTCTAATCTAGCAAGATGCATCGGCATCGTCCCGTCTTTCCCACGTTTTCGCTCTCTCGCAAGGGATTCTCGCGACAATCTCTCATGCCGTCGTCGGCGCGCTATCTCGCGCGCGCTTTACCCGTATATTAGATGCGCTCTCTCGAAAACGCGAAGTTCCGCGGCGACGTTTTATTCGTATCGTCATTTGGAATGCCACTAACACGTTGCATACACGAATCTCAACTTAGCGTCGAAATTATCCGACGCGGCGCGGAAAGGAGAAACATTGCGTAGCGCGTTGCGTTTAAAAAAAAAAAGAAAGAAAAAGAAACAAAGTCTTCCATAGTTTCAGTTGGAAACTTAGTAAGACGAAAGAAGTAGAATTTAATGAAAGCTTCGAGCGGACGGAGGCTGCTTGTAATTTTGTTTCGAGAGAAAATAAGATGCGCTCGATGAAGAGAATGTAGAATTAAAAGTGTCGTTGAAGACGTCACCGGGTACTTTGTATTTTTTTTTTTTTTTTTTTCCAGACCTTTGTATAATGTTTAATGAGTTTTAATATTGAACGAAAGAAAGAGAGAGAGAGAGAGAGAGAGAGAAAAGCGTTACGTGTGAAACAAAAAAGAGCGAAAAAAGCGCGACTTGAACTGGCGAACGAGTTTTCTCCACCATCGATTCTCGCGCGAGAGAACGCAAAGATCTGCTATGCACATCGGTAACGGTGAAAATTTATTACGTCGAGAATTAGCGCGTTGCA